TATACCATAACACATACATTTAACACATCTAACTTTAATTACCTTTTATTGTGAGAGCACTTGTGAACTATGGATAAGTACTTGCAAGAAGTGTATGGAACCTTTAATTCAAATAAAAGTTTCAAAAAATTAAAAATTCTGTTTTCTTAAACTATAAAATTAGTTTATGTTGTCCAAATAAAATATCTTGCACATTGACAAATAGAGACTTAAAATAAGAATTCAACACAACGAATGATAAATACGTAGATTTGATTCTTGCAATAATAAGATATTCGAAGTGTAAATTATTTAACATTTTCTAATATTTCCTCTCTTGGGTATTAGAGGTGTATATATACTCTTGGGCAAAAGTTTGACCTAGTCGATCTTTTCCTAATTCACTACCTATCCAAAAATTATCATGTAGTCTTTGATCTAGTAAACTACGCAAGAATCATCCTCTAAAATTACAATTTAATTAGAAGACTCAATTCAACCCATATAATTTGATAAGTCAAGGAGCATTCAATAATTAACCAGGATTCACAAAACCACAACTTAAAACAGTATAGAATAAGTGCAAAAACGTAAAGGTCAACACAGATTTTTTCGACTGAAGCCCAAGAGGTTCGTGACTACTTCTAACCCCTAATCCCCTGTTGAGTATCCATTAAAATGGATAAAGCTCGATTTCACTATAATAGCCAAAAACCAAAAGCAAAGAGTACACAAGTGTTGCAAATATTAAAAGAGACTAAGTCACTAAGACTCATCTTTTTAAGGGCCACAAAAAACAACTCCAAAACCACGCAGGAATCAGCCCAGAATACACGGGTCTACAACAGACAAATCGATCACAGTGGATCACTCAAAATCCACAAGAACAACTCAAAATAATATCCCTCTCTCTCAATTTACAGCCTCACAAAGAGATCATAACCATTTAAATAATGTAAACTCACAAATCTAAGAACCCTAATCCACCAAGAATGAGGCATTCTCGCAAGAAGAGAGAGAGAGAGAAGAGTCGGTTTGCATAACTTAGAAAAATTCTCACGCTATATCCAGTCAAAGATTCATCCTAAGATTATAAGGCTGGAAGCTTCAAGAGACAGATCAAACAGTCAGAATGATGCCATATGCTCCACTCACAGAGTTGCTATTTCAAAACACTCCTTTCGCTTAATTTTGGAAGCACAACATATATATTTCCAGCAAAATCAAAATCTATATAACCTTTTAAAATTACTCCCTCTTTGTCCATTTTAAACATCAATCCTAAATTAGATTAACCCTTTAAGTATCTCACTTCCCAATGAATTTCACCAGGATTTCCCATAAATTTACTCAAAACACTAATACTAAAAGCCAAATCAGATCTGGTGCAAATCATTAAATACATGATTGAACCAATAGCATTAGCATAAGGTATTTTTGACATTTTTTCAAGTTCATCTTCTGGTTTAGGACACGAATCAGATGTTAATATAAAGTTATTAGCAAGGGGCAAAGTCATAGGTTTATAGTCAAACATATTAAACCTCTTAAAGATCTTATTAACATACTCTTGTTGACTTAAGAACAAGCAATCAGATTTCTCATCTCTTATGATTTGCATGCCAAGTATTTTCTTAGCGGAACCAAAATCCTTCATATCAAATTCTGATTTTAATTTGTGGTTGATATCATCAATTTCAAATTTATTGGCACTAGCAAAAAGCATATCATCAACATAAAACACAAAATACAAAGGATCTTAACCTCCACTTCCTTTACAATAAAGTAATACTTGTAACCAGACAATATATAAGTGGATGCAGGGCCCCACAAATCAGCATGTAAGTATTCTAAAATTTACTTTGATTAATGAGTACTAGAAGAGAGAGGCAATTTAACTTGCTTTCCAATCAATCATCGTTCATAATTAGACAATTTTCCAATATTTGATTTTCCAAATACTCTTTTATTTTGCAAAGCCTTTAAACCTTTCAATCAAATGCGACCAAGTCTACAATGCCATAATTTTGCAAGATTAAATTCATCATCTAAAACTGCTGCTGATAGTCCCAATAATGGTTTTGCATTTAGAAAATATAAACCATGCATCTTTGGGATAGAGGTGATTAGATCACTACCCCTAAAGATTATAATGTGTCATTGACCCAATTTTATGTCAAACTCCATGTTATCCAACATTCTTAGAGACATAAGGTTTCTTTCTAATTCAGGAACAATTCTATCATTTACGAAAAGTAATTTTATTGTTCCAATACCTTTCACTTTGTAGGTCATGTTGTTTCCCATGATAATTTGGCTTCCTTTAGTTTATTCAAAGTCCAAAAAATAATTTTTGTTAGGGCACATGTGGAAAGAGAAACCTGAGTCAAGAATCCATTCTTGATTAAGGTTCCTTTCAACATTTGCAAGAACTAGGCCATTACAAATTGATGCTTATCAGAGGACATAATAATAACATTACCCTTATTTAACTTTATTCCTTTCAAATCATTTTCTTTTGCAAAGTGACCCAAATTACCACAATAATAACATTTCTTTCTCTTCGCCTTAGTTTCATTGTCATTGTTTCTTTTCTTAGGGTCATTTGAAAATTTTGAATGAAAATTAGATTTACCAGTACTTTTACCTTCTATCAAAAGATTTTATCCACTTTGATGGTTGATAGAATCTAATTTCAATTCAAGAACCCTATTTCTTAAGGCATTTATGATGATATATGTGGTAAGCTTATCTGTCATATTCTAAAACATTCTTTAGTCGTTATGTCTATCACTGATGGAGTTTAACAAGTCCACTACCAACTAATCTTCTAATAATTTCTCATCACAGTTGGCAAGGTCCTGGTCCAGTTTAGTAAATCTATCCAAGTTCTCATCCAAGTCAACAGAAGGATCTATAAAAAAGAATTGTATTAGCAAAAAACATTTGTTTGGAATAATCTTTGGCTCATATTGAGCTTTCAATTTGGTCCATAACTCTTCAGCGGTTTTAGTTTCTCCTATACACTTGATCACATTGTCTTGACAGGTACAAGAAAATAGTACTCCAGGCTATTTTTTCTAACTCAATTATTTTAGCAGCGGTCATTTCAGCAGGCCAAGAATTATCTAAGTCTTTAGCACATTTCAATTGCATCAAAATAGCCCTCATTTTTTGGCTCTACATGTTAAAGTCCCCTCTTCTATCACACATATTCACTTCAAACTTAGCAATTGCCATGTCAAAAACACACCAAGATAATACATAGTGCACAAGTTTAATTTCAAGAACACACAAGAACACTCAATAAAAGTACTGCAGGCAGACAAGGGGATAGGGGCCAATGACCAATGACCAATGCATTTATACAATTTTCTCAAAACAGTAAACACTTAACACTAAGTATAAGAGGTAGAATCACAAAGAACAGAGATATTAATTCCTATGCCTCAACTAACTTCTCCAGCAAGACCTTCCAATTACACTCCTACTAGTGTTGTTATCTCAAATTCCCAAGATTTCTTGAGTCTTTGGACAAAGACCAGCCACAATAAGGTTTATTAAACCTTTGCAATGACAAATGTTTATAACTTTATAGCTTCTGCAATTCGGTCATCTAATCCTTGTATTGTTAAGCCCAAATCCTCCACTAATTTAATGGGAGTCCTTCAACTTCCTAACTTGATATTTTGGCCCATAATTAAAGATTTTGTCCATCTTCAATCCTTTTTTTGTCCTTTTAGTCTTTTCCTGAGTTTTTCTCCTAAAATATTCAATTAACACCTAGAAACAAGGGTGTATTTGATAGCAGTAATGGAATTTGCATAGAGAGAAAATAAGTTCTAGGCGATAACATGTTCTCTGGAAAATAAAATCCTACCCCCTAAAGAAAATA